TGTGATATTCCCCCTCCAAGTACTAGCTTAGAAGCCAGTTTTACCTGCCACATTAAAGAGATGGATGCATCCGGAGAACTAAATGAGCAAGCTGATTGGCAAAATGTCTTGCCCTGCAGAGAAAGGTGTTCTTTTACTGTCACAAAATCATAGGAGGCAGTGATATCCACATTCACAGCAGCACCAAATCTGTGTAATTCATAACTTTATTGAAGTCGACACAGAAACCTTTTTAGCAAGGCTGCTGCCAATATATGCGGATATCTTTCTTGACACTGGAATCTTTTTAAAGAATTTTTAAACCTATTGAAGTTTCATTTGCCACAACAAAACCAGAATGATTTTTGAATGTTTCATTTTTGTTTTATTCACAGAGCATATTCTGCCATACATCTGATTGAGTTAAGCAGAATGAGGATGAGAAAGTTAAGGACTGCAAGGGGATGTGTAAAAGTGGGATAACAGAGAGGCCTGGTAGGAGGAGGGCAGAGATGAGCAGGGGAGAGGTAACAAAAAATTAACAGGTATCACTGCTATGCCCAATAAAGACCTTCTGGAAAAAAAGAATACTGAAATCTGTCTTGTGTCTACAAACAGCAAGGATTAAATCCTTTTCGATCTGAAGTTCTGCAAAGGAGGACTTAATGTTAAGTATTTTCATTTTTCTTGCAAGAATTATATATGGCATATGCAAATATTCACAGCCAAAAATATGTAACTATGCATCTGAGCCATTGTACAAGTGCTCTTCAGTGCATGTGTACATCTTAAAAGAACAGATGTAAAGGAATTGTGATATGATTGATTAGCAGAACTGGGACTCCTTCCTACCAACTGAGGTTTCACACCACAGCCAAACTAGTCTATGATTTTAAATCTTGGTAAAATTTAGCAGAATTAGACCTGAGAAGATATTAACTATGGTTAGCTTTCCATTTCTTTCTACTAACAATGGATGACAGATTATTTTGTGGACATTTAGTTCTCTCTTGCACTTTCATCCTGCTAAGGAGAAAATAAGGCATAAAATAAACGTACCCAAAGCCTGGGGCAATCCTTGCCTAGCTTAATGAGCAACTAACTAATCCAAAAGGAGAAGAGCATTACTTATACAGCCATAATGTAGACACAACATGGCATGTAAATCAGTAACCCTTGTATTGCAAAACAGACAAATAGATTAATGCATGTTGCAAAGGATGGGTGAAGAGATCGATTAGGTTACTGATTCAGACCATGAACTTTCTCTCAATATACTGCATTTAACTTTTAAATAAGGTTTAGGAGAACCTGTAACATTTTGCTCACTGACAGAGCTATATTTTACTAAGGGCAGAAATTGGCTAGTCTATAAAAATTAAATTATGCCCCCTTTCACTGTATCTAGTCAAGAGGAAAAACTCTAATTACAAGATTGCACTGTCAAACAAATGCAAATTTGCATTCTTTATACCCTGGTTTAAAAATTCATTCTAGAAGACGGAGGCTTCTATTCTGAAATGAAAATCAATATTTGAAATATTTTGTGGAATGCAATGATAAAGAAGAGCAGCAAAAAGAATGTCATTATCAAGGATGCTGGTAAATAGACACTAACCTATTAAGTGCAAAACTGGTGAGGACAAGTCATTAGTTATGCACACATTTAAATTATCAATTAATAAGGACAATGAAAGAAGCTGAACCAAACCTCCCTTCCACCTTCCACGTGTGCCTTATTGTTATTCCAGAAATGGTCAAGGGGAAAAGGAGCAATAGAAAAATAATCTCAGCACCTAATAGGAATACCACTCTGGGGAACAGGTAAAGGTTAGGTTTGAATGTACTTCCCAATTGAAAATTAAATGTACCTGCTGCAAAATTCATAAGAGCTGAGTTTGCAGACAATCCTGAAAGGACTAACTAAAGGCTGGCATACTGCATCGTTGGTACATTTTTTTTTTCCAAGAGAGTATCCCTTCATTACTGCTTAATGTCATACAGGTTTATTTCATTGGAATTTCTTAGTCCATTTAAAGCCCTGACTTTTCTAAATCCATGAAAAATGCCAGTTCACACAGCACTCAGGTTTCAAAAGCCCTAAGTCATAGTCTTTCAATGTTCACATTATTGCCTGTCCAGCCTGTCTGGTAAACTTGAGGGACATGAAAAATTCTCTAAATTCTTAGAACTTTGCCTGTAGTATCTTTTCAGGCAAACTTGGTGGTATATTTCATTATTCCATGAGAGGTTAGGTGGTGATATAAGAAAGATAGTGAGTTACAAAGCAGATTTCAAGTGCTTCTTAGTAACAGTTGGCTGATGGGCTTGGACTAGACATTTAACTTTTTTGGACCTTGTTTTATTACGGTATGATTCAAAAAATGTTTGTCTTGTTCAGCAGTTCTTAACTTAGAGCATCCCATAATACATGGGGTACTTATGAAAGATGCAGGATTAAATATACTTACATAATGAGCTTCACGGTGCGGGGCAGGGATGTGGATTAGAATGAGACCCCAGGAAGATGCCAATGGACACCTTTAACTAGGAACCAGTGGGTCCTTTTAGCTCTAATGCACTGAGTCTCAGTGCAGCATATATTGTTAGCTCTCACTGTGACGCTTTAATACTATCATTTAATATGCATTACTTTCTTCTTCTAGAGATGAGACCTTGACCATGCAATAGAATTAAATACTGAGTGCTTTTAGCATGGGGAAAACAGTCCTCAAAAGAGGATTACCAGATTTCACGAGATACTACATGTAAAGTCCTAGGAAAGAGCTAGATACCCAGGGCACACTCAAATATTAGCTCCTATTACTGTAGTGGTCAAATTTCATCATGCAGTTTAACAGTCATAGTTTTAGGTTTGCTCTTCATTCTTATTGGGAAAAAAAAAAAAAAAAACCCTGATTGCTAACAGTTACATAATCCTAAAACTGAGAAGTGCATTGGAATTATCAACCTTCAGAGATTGCTTTTTGAAGCAAAGGCAATGGCATTTGGCTGTTTTCTCCAGAATTTTGGCTCAGAATTCCTTGTATACATCTAAACCCATTGTCTTTCCCCTTAAAATTGACTTTTTACCTTTGCACTCATCAACCGTTTCATTTTTCAATCATCACACCTGAGATTACGTTGTATTTCCATCTTGCTGTCCTTCTGGCCCCCTGTCTATGGACGGAGGAACCTGGTTTGCAAACAAGGTCCTCGACTTGATCATGCTGATAGAAAAGAGGCAACCTCAGGTCAGGCGCTTACAGATTCCTGTGCTGAAGTTTTCTGCGTATAAAATGGGAAGTATTATGGCTCCTCTGACTTCTTACAGTATGCTTGGAAGGAGAGAATGAAGATGAAAAACAGCACTTTGAAAATGGAGTGTGTGATATGTATCTTAGATACACATGTATGGAGGAAGAAATGTTTCTCAGAAAAGTAACTTTCTGACTAAAATTGGGATCATCTCCTCTCCTTGACCATATCCCAGGCTATAAAATACAATACGCAGGTAAACTGAGAATTCTGAAATTTATAACTAGCCTACAGTACATCTTCATTTAGTGTGACTCTAAATTACTGCTTGGCAGAAAGCTGCAAGTCCTTGAACATACCAATAAAGTGTTCCCAATGATTCAGACTAAAATCACAGCAATTCTGTTGATCGAAGGGCATTTTCTTTTTTGCTCAGATAAAATGCAGGAATAAGACATAAGTACAAGAAAAATCACTTGTGCAAATTATTCATATCCATCTTAGCTTAAGATATTAGTAAATTTTTGTTTGATTCTGCTCTTTTAATAGCACACATTCCATATGCCAAAAACAATGCTTGCTGCTTTTCTTGGGACAAGTTATTCTTGAGAGCAAGTTTCAAACTTCCCAGCAATATGATTATAGTCAAAAAACCACACCCAATAATGGCCTGTGAAAAACAGCTGATAACACACACATCCCAGGACAGGGACAGGCTAGGCTAGGTGCGCTAGTGGATGTGCTCCCCAAATGACCAGCCGGTTAGCAGCAAGGCATTTGTTGGTGCTTCTTGAGAGGAAAATACTCTCCCCCAGGCACTAACTTTAAACCTAGTGATCTTGCATTGATTTTCCAGTTGGTTAAGGAAAGCACCACAACAGTTCTATTCACTTCATGGGGTTGTAAGCAGTTCATGGAACTAAAGAACAAGGCTTTGGTTTTTTTTTTTAATAGAATTCATCACATGATGCTATTTTATATATTTTCAATAGTTTTTAAATGGCAAAATCTATTCATGAGCTTGACTTTGCTGTTGAAGCAAGCGCTTCACAAATTTTTTTAAACTTCAGTTACTTGTTGGGGGGATATTTTGAAGTCTGGTAAGGGGAACTAAAGGTTCCATCTCCAAGAAGGTTCTTGTTAGAGTGAGGTCTGCCCCTCATAAACCCCCTCCTTTCCTTGCATAATGCCCAGGGTCTCTGCTCAGTCAGCTAAACCAGCAGAGCAGGGAATAACATTCTTTTGAAAGATCTTGGCAATTTGTGCCTGGAATTTGATGCATTAGTTCTAAAATTAAATAAAGATCCTATAGTTCCTTCAGAGAAATATGGTGTGGCTCTATGACAAAACACATTTTTCAAGCTCTGATCTCTGGGAACTTCAACTAGCTCCATATTTCAGGCTGACATGGCTCACAGGCTACTGTCTAGTGTCCTAAGCCATGGCTGGTTATCCATATATCTTCCACTCTCTGATCAGCTTTTAGTTCAAGGAAGAGAGGGGAGTAAATAAAAAGAATCACTGATTCAAACACACTGCCTCTCCTAACTCCCTTGGGGAGAAGCCCTAGTCATTAACTGTAATGAGATTAAAGTAACTTGGAACTCTTCATTCTCCCAGTACTATAAAAGTAAATCTGCAATAACCACTGTATAAGTGCTTTAAATCACAGTCAGTCCCCGCTTCTGTAATACAAGGGCCCCCTCACTCTCACCTCAGAGGCCTGGCTGAAGGGTGCAGGGGAAGAATTGCTGGGCTCTTACCCGCGCTTTGCTCCATCACTTCTTTCTGACACATATCTTGAACGTTCACCGTGCAATTCACGATGAACTCAGGGGAAGAGCAGTCGTTGTTCAGCTGGAATTCCTCACACTGGTAGCACTGGATTTGCAGCGCAAAGCCTGCAGGACACACACAGTCTGATTCAGATCCGATGGGCGTGGAAGCCCACCCCTGACACCTCCATGGGTTTTCGGCTCCCAGTCTCAGGATGTTTGGGCACCTGTACTCCTGAAACTCTAGGCAAGTATGGATGTGGCTGAAGCTGGTAATGGGCAGCGCGGGTACCAAAGATTCTGCAGGATAAAGTGGAATTGAGCCCAAGGAACCCTAAATCCCTGTTCTAGACACAAAGAGCTCATCCAACACCTCTGCCAGCCTTTATCCAAAGAAGTTTAAAGGAGGGGGATAGGGTGCAAACCCAGCAGCAAAGTAGCGTTTAAGACAAGCATCAGCTGAAGTCTATGCCAAAGGATTTGCCTAATTGCTAATTGGTTACAAATTACTTAATTACTATTTTGGCACCGTTCGTGATTGCATTCGCAGACACCCTTTCAGTTTTATTTTTGAAGTCAGGGTTCCTAAGCTTTGGTTCTGAGGCTTCCTGCGCAACCATGCGCGGAGCAAGGGAAGAGGTTCTGCACACCAAGTGCTATTGCAGCCTAAGTGCTTGGGCTCAGCGACCTCTCCCGGACCGTTCTCCCCGCCACAGGGTAGGGTGCAGCGGGTAAGAGGGGTTGCGTATATGTGTGTGCTTGCTCCGCAGACCGCGATACTACAGCCCCTTCCGCGCTTTTCAGAGCAATCTTTGGCTCGGTCCGCGGCGGGGTTCCCAGCTCTGCAGAGCTCACTCCGGACTGGATAGGCAAAGACGGAGCCAGATACTGGCCCTTTATATCCCTTCAGTCCGGCTGCTTGGTCTGCGCGCTTCATCCAGATCTGCCAGCGCTTCCGCAGCCTGGTGTGACCACTCCTCCTCGCCCCACCATACAGCACTCCAGGCTCCGCGATCCAGCCCTGGCGCGGCCCGGCACCGAGCGGCCCAGGGCTTCGCTCACCTGTCGGCGCTGTTGCTCCCACGGGTTGCCAGAGACGCTTGACAACTTGGTGAGGTTTAGAAATGTCGCACCTTCTCTCTCGCCAAGCTACTGCGAGGCTCAGATCCTCCCTCCTCCCCAGCCCAGTTTCTACCGACAGTAGCCGGAGCAGCTGCAGCAGGAGTCGCACAAATCCGCCGCTCCCCGCTGTCCTCCTGCAGCGCGGGACTTGGAGACTTTCCCAGTCTGGCGCCTCAGGGCGCCTGGCGCCTCCGCCAAACTCCCGCTGGGCAATCCCTGCGCTACGCTGGCCCGGGAGCGAACGCCACGGGGTAGAGCGGGTGTCTGCGCCTGGAAGGGCTGCGGCCCTCGGGTCCTCTTACCTGGAAGCAAGAACAATCCGCAGAAAGTTGCGGCGATGCCGAGGACCCACATCCTCCCGGAGCCGCGGGGCAGGGAGCGGGCAGGCGCATCAGAGGCGGCGAGCGCAGCGGAGGCTGCCCGGGCCGCAGCGGCTGTGGCTGCTGGGGTTTCTGGGGCTCGCGCCGATGCCGCCCAGGCGACGGCCGCCGGCGAGAGGAGCCGCAGGTGTCGCCCTCGGCGCCCGCATCGCCCGCGCCGGGGCTCGCGGCTGCCGCCCGGGTGCTCGCTCCTCTCGGTCGTTCTCCCGGGCCACGCGCGGCGGCGCCTCTGGAGTTGGCGCTGAAGCTGAAGAACTACGGGCGATTCCGAGCACCCAAAAAAGTCTCGCCTCTTCTCCCCCTCCCACGCCACGCACCACGTGACGGCTGCCGAGTTGGGGTGGGGGTGGCAGGCGGGGAAAGGCTGGCACCGTCGAAGTCCCCACCCCCTTCCCTCCGCTGATTCTGGGAGCCGAGCCCTCCGCCCAGGGGTCGGGGAAGTGGTTGAGGAAGCGTCCGGGGAGACGCAGCAGGTGCCTGGGGACCGGTGGGCGCCAACTGGGGGCCCGCGTAGCCAGGGGCGGGCCGGGCCTCGCACGCGCTCTGCTCCCGTTGCAGATAGCGAGCACCCCAGCACAGGGTCTGGCCGGCCCATCGCAGCTCAGGGGCCTCTGGGCGACTCTTGGCGGTGTGGGAAGCGTGTGCCCGCGCACCTGGCAAAGTTGCACACCCGCAAGCTCCCTGGGTGTCCCGAGCTGCGGCGCGACCACCTCCTCCGAGAGGGTCTCGGACCGGTGAGTACCGGGCCCGGCCTCCGCAGGATGGGTGGGAGTGCGGTAGGGACCCTGACCCTCACGCGGGTCCCCGCCACCCTCTTCCCCCCACCCCCGTGCGCGCACCAGTGCAGAGGGCACTGACAGCCCTGTTGCCCTGCCGGGAGGTGCGCCCTTGGACCACCCTTAGGAGCTCCCGGGAGTAAGCAAATCCCGCGAAGAGGGCTGCCCTCCTCCTCTCTTCCCTCCAGAGGAGGGGCGGCCTTCATCTGGGCCCCAAAGGCCACGGGTTACTGCGCAAGGCACCGTCCCTGCCCAGGACCTGGACGCTGGCTCTTTCCCCCACCCCACCCTAAATTCCTCTTCGCCACTTCCAGGTGACACCCACCTTGCGTATTCCCAGGACGTCTCTGCTTTTCGCCTTCCCAGCGGAGCTTTGCAGCAGGTGGTGCCCGCGCCCGCGCCCCGCCTGCGCTCATGTGTGCCCCCACCCTCAATGCTGCGCGTTCCCACCCGTGGCCTCGAATCCCCGGGGAGCATCCATTTCCGTGGAAATAGCCCCGTAAGCCTCGCCCCTTTTCTTCCTCCTTGTGGGGAAGCTCTCACAGCTGGGAAGCAGGTCATTTACTTCCCCATCCTGCCTGCCAGGAGAGCAGGTCTGGAAATGGGCATAAATGACTTCCCTGTAATTCCTTTGCAGAGATCCTTCCGTATCTGCCTCGGGCTCCTTCTCTGCCTTTGCACCCCCCCCCCTTTCTTTTTTAGTTGGTTAACCCCTCCGGGAGGCTGATACGCTCTGGCTCCGACCTTACTAGCTCACTGCAGGCTCTGCCCTCACAATTGGCTGAATTATAATCATGGGAGCAAAAGGGCCAGTTTCTTCTTGGGAAAGCTGTCCTTGGAGCACACGTGAATCACAACCCATACAACCAGGTGGGCTTGAGGGTTCTTGAGCAAGTTCTTGTCAGCATATAGAGGGTACAATGGTGATAGGACTTTATTCAGAAATGAAACAAAAGGATTTTTAAAAGCCTGAAAGACAAAGACAGTTTACATAATTTTCATTTAGGGTAACAAAATTCAAATACAACAAATTGCACAAATCAACAAAATAACACTGATCATACAATATTCTTTAAAGAAACAGTGTTGTGCTAAAGTAACCAAGTAGATCCTATTGTACCTAGTTTACAAGCTCCTGTACAAAAGCAATTATAAATAGTTCACATCTAGAAAAAATACATGTAACCTTTAAAATAGAATTTATCCTTACATATAAACACTTTGTAGAAAAAGGAATATTAAAAGTAAGAAATTTCCATAGCACCAACCATTGATTTTGTTACAAAGCGAACATAGCACATAGGAATTTGCTTTCATTTCTAGAGTACTCAGATTGTGATTTTTAAAAGTAGGAAGAGGAAAACCAACAGTATAGAGAGTCAGAATCACTGAGTAGAAGAGGATGTAAGGCAGAGTCTAGAGGAAACTATTGGAAATAGGGTTAGGTTGCTTCAGGACACAGGGTCACATTTCCCAGTGTCCACACTGCATTTTTCAGTGAAAGCAAAATTATTATTAAAACTTGAATCTCTCAGGCAACAATTCTGAAACTGCACTGCAATTAAAAACATCTAACAAAATGAGATTGTGAGATGGAGATGATCATGAACTCTCTGGCTTTTCCGCAGGCTGTTTTAGGTTTACAGAGCATACCCACAAATGTGTTGAGGACTAGGACAATGAACTTCACAAAATCTTTAGTTGGAATTTTAAAAAATACACATTACTGGCCCTTCTAAGACTCAGTACCTCATTTCAAGAGCATGGCACAGACTCCTTTTATTGCTATCTTTTTCTTTCCTACAAATATAATTTCTCTTTCAAAAAATTTACAACTTCTATACAAGTATTTTAAAAAGTGCAAAATTACGAATTCTGTGTGTTTACTTTTAATCCTCTTGAAACACAATGGATTCGGTCTTTATTGCCCTGTCAGAGAAATAAGTCCTGGTGGGTTGCCTGCTGTGTACTCCACAAGGTAGGTGAAGTATTGCAATCCTTTATGGCTAACAGCTGTACCCTGCCACCCCGCCCTGCTTTCCTTTTATAAGTGCTCTATTCCCAGCTCTGAGGGGGTGAAAAGTCCTTTATACGTCATTTGAACCTTGACTTGCACAAGAAGAAAAGCTGTCATATAAAGAATCACTCAAAGATTCCAAATTGTCTACCCCAGGTTTCTCCGAGCTACTAAAAGATGCCTCTTCATTTTTCTCTCTTTCTTCCTTTTGTCCTTCAACCTTGCTCAGGGAGGTCTCTTTTTCTAATAAAATCACAGTATTGCTGTTAAATTTATTGAACGACTCAAGGGAAATTTTAGATAATCTATTCTCAGGATCTTCTTTTGTTTCTTCAACTTGTTTCAATTTCTGCAATAAAAAGAGGGAAATATTAGAAACATATTTCTTTGGAAAATCAAGTTATCCTATCCAATATTCAATTATTATCTGTATAAAGTGTAGTTTAAAAGGATAGAGAGAACCTGCAAGTCTTTAATGATCTTCCAGTACAATTAAATGTAATAATAAAGTTAATTTTAGAGATAAATCAAGACTTTAATCATTTTACCAAGACAAATAGGTCCCAATTTACAAACCAGTTAAGTGTCATTTAAAGTTTCATTTAATTTCATTTTAAATGGATCCATTTGAAATTTATTCAAGTGAAGTGCCTTATTTTTCTTAATTGAAGTTTCAAATGCTTCTGTTTCCTTGCTAAGTATTAGTTGTACTTTTTCTAAATATAGAGATTCAGTTTTAGCCAGAAGTTACAATAATTTGCAAAAAAAGGTGTGTGTTGGGGGAGGCAAAAATCCCTTAAATTGCCATAAAATTTAAATGCATATTAAACTTGGCAGCGGCATTGTCATGTTTGCACTTTTTCCCTTTATGGGGCTTAAGATTATTGAGAGAGATCTCTGGGTCTTTAGCTGTGGTTTTCAGAAGGCCCAAATGTGTAAAAACAGGTCTGTTTGTTTAGTAACTTGCACTGTCCAGCAAGTTCTAGTAATATACCAGGTTATACTGGGGTATTTATAGGATGCCACTAGCACCCTCTAGCACTGTATAAAACACTGCAGCCATGCTCAGTCATCATGCCGTGTAAACATGCCTCTGTTCAGTTGCTCAAGTGCCTGACGGGGCTGGCACGAGGACAAAGGGAGACAGAGAGGCAGAAAACTGTGAGAAGACAGAAAACAGGATCTGAATTTCAATCTGTCCCATGCTCTTACTCTGCTAAACTGTGTTGCTATAAATAAAGGGGCAAAATAGTGTACTTTCATGTTGTTTACCAAATCTTTCATTTAAATGAGACCAATGTCAAAACTTTTCTGACACATAGTTCTGCTTCCCAAACTGCCCCCAGCCTACATGATTATGGTGGACTAAAAAGCATGCAGTGAGGAAACTGAGTTTCTATGGGGGCAAATGGATGCAGCCAAGAAATGGATTCTCCCAGCAAATGAGAGGAAAAAACAAGATGGTGGTAGGCGGCTGCTGGGTCCCAAGAGGGAGTGCAGGCAGTGTTTCTCTGCCATGGGTAGTGGTGACATTCAGTCTTGAACTAGTGGCTCCTTCAGCATAGTACTAGCATGCAGGCCCATTTCTCAAGAGTTCAGTTTCAATCTCAGATGCCTACCTTGAATCCACGGTGGGGCTAAGCAATAAATTCCTGGCTGATTACAGACTAGTGATTCTCCATGCGAGAGCTCCTTTTTTATGTTATGTCAATTTTTAGCATTCTTTTCCCCCAAACAATTATAGAGAATAGTATTAAAAAATACATGATGAACAGGAAATGATTTGAGAAAGTAAAAGTTTACCTACATTTACCAAAGTTTCACTGTACATTTACATTTACATACAGAAAGGGCATTCAGTGCAATTTTCTCTTCCCTTGGATGTCTTAGTTCTTTTCTTTCAAAAACTACATGCATTTTGTGCCTATTTCTAGTCTCTATAGATCTCAAATTATTAAACACATATTTAGAGCCACTACCGCAAAACAGAAAGGTTTGAGTACTGAGACTACACAGCTGATTAAAAGTGTTTCCTATAGGAGATATTGGCAACCTTCCCTTGGCTGTGGCAGTGTGTGGCAGTGGGATCCTTCTTCAGGTGATAAGATACACCTGTACTCCAGTGTTAACTAAAGTTTAGAAATAAAGTACAATAGGTCCCTGGTATATAAAAGGTGCTCAATAAATTTAAGATAGGATTCTTATTGTAGGACATTATTTCTCAAAATTTATTCCCCAGAGCAGCAATAGCATCAACATCATCAAGGAGCTTGTTTGAAATGCAAACAGACCTACTACATCAGAAACTCTCAGACCCCTCATTTGTTTTTATCGGTACCGGGGATCTAACTCACGACCGCACGCTTGCAAGGCAGGTGTTTATGCTGCTGAGCTAAATCCCCAGCCCTAGACCCTCCCATTTTTAACAAGCTTACAGAATGGTTCTGATGGACACCAAAACTGAAAACCACTAGACTAGAAGAATTTGTAGTCTTTGAGCATGAACAGATAAAATGTATAATTTGGGCCAGCATAGAGTTGATACCTGTAATCCCAGTACTCTGGGAGATTGAGGCAGAAAGACAGCAAGTTTGATCCCAGTCTGGGCAATTGAGTGACTCAGGGAGACTCTGTCTCAAAAAACAAAATAAAAAGGCGCAGGGATCCAGCTCAGTGTAAAGGTCTCTATTACCACAAACATAAACACAGAAGAAGAATTCTGTGTATAAAGGTTGACGTGAGGAAAATTTAAAACTTCCACTGTTAATGGGTCAGTACCTCACCTACTCGAAGGGTTTCAAACTTGAAGGGTGAACTTGTCAGTTAAATATAGCATAGCACTACCTGGGCCAGCGAAGTTACGAAAATGAATGACCTCTAATAAGAAAAACATGGTCATCTCAGGCACCCTTTTGTTTTCACAGTTTGGGTGAAATGTGAATCTCTTGGCTCTAAGAGCAACACTAGTGCAAATGACAAAAAGGGCCAAATGATGTTCAACTTCAGGTTAGAGAGCTCAGGAGTACATCATGTATTTAAAGGCAGCAACATTAGTTCAGTTTAAAAATTTCCTGAGTTTTGAGTATTAGTTCACATTAAACAAACAAACAAACAAAAAAAAAAAAACCCACAATCTGCATGTCAGCTTGTAGTCTTTATTGTCTCAGTTTTTTCTGTTTTCATGTACCAGTGACTGAGCCCAGGGCCTTCACATTGAGCTCCATTCCCAGTCCTTGTCATTTTTGGTTTTGTGACAGGGTTCCCCCGCCCTGCCGAGTTGCTGTTTACATTACCCAGGCAGGGCTCAAACTTGCAATCTTCCTTCCATAGCCTCTCAGAGAGCTTGGGTTACAGGCATGTATCCTCATGCTCAGATTGAATTTCTGAGCTCTGGATCGGGTATTACGCTTTATTGTATGTTCTACTGGTCACCCTACCCCTACCTTTTTTCTCCCTAAAGCTGAGCCCAATATTAAATAGTCAGTAGGTTCTACAAGAAAACTTCCTTTAGCCTCAGAAGAGTCTGCAGTGGGGTTTGGGTTTTCCAGTAAGGCACTAAGTAGTCTCCTTTCCTGGCCTTCTAGGAACTGGCCTCAATCTTGCCTTGTCAGATGTTAGGTATATTTAAACTTTCGAAGTCACATTAAATGTAAAACAGAAGGAAGGATTGCAGTCAAACAGTAATGCATTAATGATCTATCTGGCAAACTGTCACAAAACAGTGCAGGACAGTTACAGTTGTTTTGCAAACTAATCATGTAAGAACAATTCCTATTTTACTATGTGGCTGTTCAGGTGCAGACAATAGTTTATAGAGCTATCTGTTCGCAAGCCTGCAGCACTTCCATAGGGCAGAAGCTGCTGAGGCTGGGGCAAGGTATATAACTTGTGCAAGGCTTTTAGCAGTACTTGGTGAAGTTTAGATTTAGACCCAGGATCTGCTAGTAGAGCCCAACTTTGTAGTTGTCACCTTGGAAAAGTGGTTAACAACTATTAGCAGTATCTTTAAAGGTAGCATCTGAAGTAATTCCAGCAGAAAACAATAATGACAAACTCAGTAAACATTCACGCTTAACAAACATTGTGTTGGCTCCAAAAAATATCATGTCCTTTATATGCTTACACCAGAACTAAAATCACTTCAGTTGTCACCTATAGGTGGCAACAGTTGTATGAATGACTTTTTGGTGGGGCTTTTGATTGCACTTGGGAGCAAAAATAAGGGTAAACAGGCAATATGAAAATATATTTTCAAGTTCAAAATAAGTAGCTTTACATATTTTTACAGTATTTTCCTGTCTTTAGTGGAACCACAAAATTATTAATGATAGCTCAGAAGTAGTAGATAGTGATATATTGAGAAATTTTTTGAGAATTACAACTTAACTAATTTAATTTCTTGTTGTTCAACAATCAGTCATTTACCAAACCCATTTAGTAATGGACCAGTTTTTTGTAAAGTAGTCTTGTGATTTTGATTCTCACAGGAAGTTTCATAAAAGCGTGTGCTTTTCCGAAGATTTTGAAGGATAAATAAGACTAAGACATACAATAAGGTAGAGGGAGGGCATTTCGGTAGTATGCCCCTCTGCCTCTGTACACTACTCTGTACCTACCTCAGGACCAGCATATGCCCAGACAGTCCCTTGTGCTTTTTAGATTCTGTAGTGGAGAGACTCATTGCACAGACAGAAACCCAGAGGATGCCCATTCCAAGAGGTTCTGAGAAACACATCTAGACTCAGGCAAGTACTGTGTTAGTCCAGTGTTTGATACATAAATAGCTCGTATTTCCAAACAGCTTTCCCATGTATCGGCTCACTGTGCTCTCACATCACTCTGGAAGGTGAGGGAGTCTGGGGCCAGTTATACTTTACATGGATTTTTATGGAACCTGTCATTCATACAAATTCAAGTTCAAGTGAAATTAGACCTGGAAACTTAGATTCTTTATATTTAACATGGAAATACTATGTTTCTCACAGTCAACGGTAATCACGGGCTATAGATTTTGACAGCAATATCACGAAAGCTGAAAGGTTCAATCAGGAGGAGTTATGATAAAGACGACAAGAATACATAAAATGATACACAAAATCTCAGTGATAAACCAGCAAAACATAGATGCAAGATGGTGTCACTTTCACAGAGATGTATGCTGCACACACATAGAAACCTTCATTCATAACTGGGGAGAAACAAGAAATTTATGGAATAGTGCAATCAATTATTGTTCTGTGATGAAGGCCACTTTCATTATTTAAAGCATGTTTCCATCTGTTGATTATATCTTAAAAATATTGGCTACTGTATCGAATATACCTTGAAAAATATTGGTTAAAGTATCTA